TCAACAAGAACTAAATAAACTTATAAAGTATAAAATAAGCACATTTTGCCTTAGTGTTTGCAAACTGAGGGACAAGTTGGTGTTATTTTCTATAGTAATGTGACATTGCTGCTAATAAATGTGACCCTGGACCACAAAACCAGTCATAAGGGTCAATTTTTTTAACTTGAGATTTATACATAATCTGAAAGCTTTCCATTGATGTATGGTTTGTTAGGATAGGACAATATTTGGCCGAGATACAACTATTTGAAAATCTGGAATCTGAGGGTGCAAAAAAATCTAAATATTGAGAAAATTGCCTTTAAAGTTGTCCAAATTAAGTTCTTAGCAATGCATATTACTAATCAAAAATTAAGTTTTAATATATTTACAGTAGGAAATTTACAAAATATCTTCATGGAACATGATCTTTACTTAATACCCTAATGTTTTTTTGGCATAAAATAAAAATCAATCATTTTGACCCATGCAATTAATGTATTTTTGGCTATTGCTACAAATATACCCCAGCGACTTAAGACTGGTTTTGTGGTCCAGGGTCACAAATATAATGTCAATACATGTAGTTGTATTTAAAACAGAATATATCCTTTTAATATTCCTTAAAGTTTTTGTGTACAGCGACAAAACAACCTGATTCATTTTCATTCATTTTCAGCTGAAAGTTTTTGTTATCCCCCACCTAAAAATTTTACAGAACCAGTCCTACTACTACCTGGAGTGGAATTTCTCAGACGAGCTCTTGGTCTTTTCTAATGCAAGTCGAAGGACGTTCTGTGTGTTCTGATAGTTTTAAACACAATTTTATTGAAATTATCCAATAGTACAATTAAAAAAAAAATGTTGACTGGCCACATAAATGCTACTGGTACCCAGAGGTATTTTTGCCAAATCAGTCTCATTCCCAAATAAACTTGTTTTTCATCAATAAGAGCACTGATTTAAGACAGGAATACACTATTTGCAGTTGATGCCAAAAGTCAGAGCCAGTCTGCAGATTTTGGGTATATTTGGCAGAAAATCATGTTGTTTATTTTGGGCACAGACAGATTTTTTTTTAGCTTCAGACTATCAAAGTTAAATTGCTATCAAAGTAATCATTTTTAGCACATCCCTTGGCAGTGGATAAAAAGCAACAGTTCCTTTAGGAAGCAACAGTGACATATGTAGTAGACAGAACTGACAGTTCCTCACTCGGTTGTTTAGTGAATGATTATCATTTACAAAGTCTGCAAGTGTATGGTTCCTAGTGTTTGAAAATCTGCTCAGATTTTAAAAGTCATGTTCATATTAAAAAGAAGTGTATCCTACCTGTAACTTACCGTTGTTTAATTTACACATTGATCTAGATCACTCTGACTGTGATTTCAAATTAAAAACACAATCAATTCAGTTGATTGTGAGAAGCATTTGCCTTGGTTTAGCCTCGAACACGTTGTGTGATTTCACAAATGGCAGATAAAAATGCTCTTCTATGTCACAGTTCATTCCAGCCCATGTAAGAACAGTATCCAATCAATATTTACTGTTCCCTTTCAGTCGGTCACTCTCGACGTCACGTCGGATGACCGACGAATTGGGATCTCGCTTAG